GGTGCCGGGGAGGTTGTCGCCGCCGGAGCTGCGGGGGGGCACCGGCACCGGACAGGTGGGCGAGCGGCGGCTGCCCCGCTCGCCCTCGCGGGGACGTGGCCAGCCTCTGGCTTGAGGTGGGCTGTCTTGGCCCCGCAGGGCGCGTCTTTAAGTAACAGAGCGAGGGTACGTGTAGAAACCGTTTGGGCAGTGCAGCGATGGGAAGGCGGGCGTGAATATCTCGTATCTGAGGTGCATGCCCTTACTTTTAAGCAAAGGTGTTTTCAAGGGCTGAGTGATGTCCGCGTTCCGGTAAAGGAACTTACGGCTTAGCAACTCTTGGCATAGCATGGCTAGTTTTTGGTAATGGTAGAATTGCTTTGACTCACCTAAAATGTCTGAATTTTAATCTAAAATGGAATATAATAGGAATCATTTGTCATTTGTGCTTATTGTTGCTGGAGAAAAAAACAGGTATTACTTGTAATGCATAAAATGTGTATTCATCCTTAAAAAAATTTACATTCAGCCCACTGCAGCTTGAATTTTTAAGTGCTCTGAAGAGGTCCAAAAACATTGTGAAAGTACAAGAGAATTAAATAGGAAAGGAGTATTTAGAACAAGCCTAAAATTAAGAGAGAAGTAATGAAGCATACTGTGAAGACCTTTTGACATATGAAAATACATGAATGTTCTTTTCTAATGCATGAGTTATTAAGAATCTCCGTCATAAACAGCACAGAATAAGAACAGGCATAAAATCAAGGAATTTTTAACATATTGGTCTGTCAATATCGTCAGCTTGAGTTCCATGACATTTTGTTTTCTGTGACAGAAAAATAGTTTTGTGACAATTACTCACTATTTAATGTGCAAGCTTACAAAGGCTGGTAGGCTTTACTGAAAACTCTGTGAACAAAAAGGGAGGGTATTTCACATTATGTTTTTTCACATGCCTCCTCTCTCTCTTTCTCTCTCTCTTCCCTGCTGCACCCTAGCAGCCTTCCTTGATCTGTTGGAGATGTTTAAAGCTTTATCTTTTTTCTGTGTTTTGCGTCTAATTATTGTGTTAAGTCCAGTACATTCCTGTATTAACGGCTCCATCCTGCATTTATTTTTTACTCAGATCACCTATTTTCTTCAGAGAGAAACGCTGGGTGTTCTCTGTCATAATACTGAAGCATTCTTGGAAGCCAATTCCATCCCTTCACATACTTAAGTGGCATCATTATATGCATAACATACAGATGGGTCTCAGCTATTCCTTCCCACAACCAATGAGGCAAATAATGCACAGTTCTGACATTTCTTTTTGAATATATTGACAGAGATCTGATCAAAAACATTGGGAAAAACATGTCATGGCCCTGGAGAAAAGCTGCAGTCGTATTGGCCTATCACTGGTGCCAGCTCCTTCATATAAATATTGAAGTATCTCTGTTTTGTAAGAAAATGCCATTGTCAGTTCAGAATTCCAAAACGAGAAAAATACTCTTATATTTCTTGGTGACCAAGTTCATTCAAATGCTGCAATATGTTAGCTTAACCCTATGCAAAACGCTGTTCTCATTTCAGATTCCGTTTTATTTGGGATCAAAGTCTATGAGAACGTAAAATATACACAAACATTTTCAACCTAACATTAAAATACCCCTTTCGAAAACAGTAGCGTTTGGCTTCCCGTAAACCTATAGTTTATGTAGTCCATAGCGAGCATTCCACAACCAGTCGAGCACAGTAATTTGTAAGTTGTTCTGTATCTTCTGTTTGCCACGATCTTCCTGTCTTGAGAACGGTTTAAAAACAAAAGTGAAATAGTGTCTTGACTACTGAAAGTCCCAATACATGCTTAATTTGGTGCAGTTATTTTTTGAGGAGCTTTTCCTGGAAAAAAGATAATGTTGTGATTGAATGATATATATTTTTCTAATTTCTTAATAGAAGATAACATTACAAAGAGGTTCAGTTATAAAAATTATGTACTTTCTAGAAAGCAATTAAAGCAGGAAATCACTTTCAGTTGTTCAGCTTGCTATCCTAGATAGTCCCGTAGAAGTTCCTGTTTAGATGTAATTTACGTACTGAAAATATTGATCAAATTCAAGTTTAAGTCATGAAAATATTAAGAATCCTAGTCTGAATTATCGTGAATATTAACAGTAACTAAATATAGTTGGAATACTTAGTATTTTAGTATTCTACTAAGTATTAGGAGAATAAATTTAGTTTTGAAAATAATCAAATCCTGTTGTATTTGAGCTATTATGACCAATGTAAAATGACAGAAAGGTGGAAGGTAGCGCAGTGATCTCCAAAACGGCAAATGAAGTTAACCAGGTATTGACTAGGCATCCTGTAACATCAACATCTTATACTTATCAGTATTCAAACTAGTTAATTTACAGTGACCTTGAGTGTGCGTATACAAACTGCAATACAAAGTACTTCTGGTTTACAGTGTAAACATATCTGATCATGTAGCTTAAGAGTTTTTTCCTCTCAGGAGTGAGGATTTTCTTTTCCTCTCACAAAAGAGGTTTGAGCCAGACTTGCAGATGTACTGTGTCTTCAAAGCATCTTGTCATAATCAATAAAACCATGAACTTACGTTCCAAGGTATTTTGGGGAATTTTTAGGTGATTTATGAAAACATCTGCCTGTATATATACTGGTCATGTGAAATTAACTTTCACTGGAAATTGAAGTTAAAAGAATCAGTATTTAACAGCATTTTCCAATCTCTTTAAGTCTGTTTATAGAAGAAAATGTTCTTTCTATTGCTGCATTTAGGTAGGAATGTACATAATATGTTTCATAGCTCAAAAAAAGAGAGAAGGTAACTCACTGCTAAAGACAATCTTAGCTATTCCATAATAAAACATTTTTGTCACAGTTCAACATTTCAGTAATGATTTCTGGAAAAGTAAGCATTTTTTTAGAGAAAGTTGTGTTGCTGAATCACTTAAGGTTAGGTTGTTTACTGAAATTGAAATGCGAGTAAGGTATTTTTAGAGCTACCATATATCACTTCATGAAATAGCTTTTCGTTTGTTCCTTTAGGCCTTGAGCTTTTAGATTAGAATAATCGTAAACAACCAAAGAATTTATCTCTTATTTGATGTAACTTACTTTCAATGAATGCATTATATGGTGAACTTCAGCACATAGAAGATAAGATTGTTCTAGTGCTATAAATGTTGTTATAATACAGTCTTAATATTATGAAATAATTTGGTAGTTAAGGTAGTCATTGAAAGTTATTCCATGTCTTCATACTCAGACAACTTAAAAGTTGCAACTAGACAGCACTTAACTAGTATACAAAAATAATATTTTAACAGTTCAAAGCCCTCAAAATCCTTCCAACTGCAAGTGTGATATAACTTTTCCATAACGTATCTAAACTTTTCCATGCTTCTCCATTTTGCGCTATACATAGTTTTATAACTTTTTTGCCAAAGAATGCAAAAAATGAAAATGCAAAAATCAATGCTTAAAGTTCACATTGGCTGAAAAGCTAGTAAGAAAAAGTAATAGAAGAAAAAGTAATCAGGGGCTAGAAAGCATAAAGCTAACACTTTGGGATAAGAAAGTCCCTAACCTGCAAATACTCTGGAGACTTCACAGTATTCCAAGGAGGTGCCGTGACATTGTTGCACTGCTCTTCTGCGCTTCCTTACTCCTCTGCTGTTGTCTACTTGGGACAAGATACTGGACTAAATTGATCTTTGGCCTGGTTTGGTTTGAC